TAGAACTCATCAGTTTGGGGATGGAGAGAGAGCCTCTGAACATCAGTAGGATATTACATAATAAAGAGGATTGAAATAATATTAGTTGATGATGCGAATACTGAAGGAGATTTTTTTTTTTGCTGTCGTCTATTGAAAATATGAAAATGTTTCAAGTTTCATTACATCCAGCAGTTAATCATAAATGAAATTTCAAACACTGCATCTTTAGTCATTTAAGTCAGTTGTTACTATAGTGCGACTGCAACAGCTACCTCAAAATCATTCAGCAGCTCAGGTGGGACAGACTATCATGTCAACTTAAGCTGAATGATGATAAGACTCAATAAATCAAGAACCCATATACACTTTTTCAGTATCTCCCCAGTAAATTATTGTACAGCTACTGTGAAGACAACTTCTGTGTTATGTGCCATGTGATTACTATTGTTGTCTTGCAGTTTCAGTTTGAGGAATTTTGTGGCAGTTAAGTCTAGTACCACTGCTGAGAAAGAAGACAGCAACAGAAAAATACAATTCAATATAATAGTTAAAATTAATAGGAACTCTCCAAATAAATGACAAAAAATAAATGAATAAATAATCTTATAAAAAGGGGAATAATTTCTTCCATATTGGAGGGGAAAACATTGTGATGCTATGTTCTACAGTATGACGAGTCTTTTACCAATTACAGTGGTTGCGTGGTCTAAGGCATGAACTGTCTGTCTGCTCGAAAACTGGGATCATAGGTTCGAATCCCACTCAAGGCATGGATGTCTGTCTGCATTTATTCTGTTTGTGTTGGTCTGTGTGTAGGTAGCAGCCTTGCAATGGGCTGATCCCCATCCAAGGAGTCCTACCAATTATGTATATATAGGATTAAGAAACCAAAGAAGCGGCCAAGGTCAAAAGGGCTGTAGAGCTACAAAGGGGGGGGGGAGACGGGTCTTTCACATGCTTCAGATTATCGACAACAAGATGATGGGAACAAGAGAGAATAAGCTGTCTGCTTCGATATTTGTACCCAAGGGTCATAAACTATTGTATGTTGGTGTTTTAGATATGGATTGTAAAACCGTGACTTAATTCTTAAAAAACGAGTGCTCAAATAGACAATAAACTAAAACTAGTTAATACCTTTTACATTCAGTACACACATCTGAAAATGTCTGAACAGCCAAAGCATACACAGTAGAACCAGTTATTTACCGATTAGATTTTCATTTTGTATCTCACAGTTTCTTATCAAGTTATTATATTTCTATTCTTATAAAAATAAATATGTTACTGGTAAACAATCTGACATTTATTTTAAATAAAATAAAATTATACAGTGGAACCTCCATTTACAGCAGATGTCAATAATCTTGGTGTTTAATTATGTCACTTGGTTTCCCGCAATTTTGGTGTTCAACACCACTGTTCCACAAGAAGACTGTAAATGGGGTTCACTGTATATGGAAGCAGAGACATGCAGAACAGGGATGGTTCATCTGAAACTGTAATGCTGAGACATTTTTCATTTTTTGGTATAAAAGTACCAAGATTACAATATACAGTATAGTGAAGCCACGCACACACAGTACATTGATACAGTTCAGTAGTGCCTTTTCATGTGGTAATGCCTGAAGCACATAATCTCACAAAGGGCATCTCTGCACTATTCACACTAATATCTACTGTAGGTTTCTCACAGACGGCCTGTGTCGGATACCACAGCATCATTAAATTCTAATAGGATGTCTTTATGAAAGAAGAGTTTTTTGTGCACCTTGTACACAACATATAGAAATTTATGACATCCATTTACAGTACGAAAAGCTGACCTTTTTGTAATGACATCACAGTTTTTCTGAACTCTTGAGCATAAGCGTTCGCTGTTGTTGGGGCTGATTTCTGGTTTCTTTACTATTTTGACTTTCCTGTCTTTATTTCCCAAGTCCATAATCTGAAACAGGCCTCTAGTTTTGCTACATCTGCTGTAAGAATTTCACCTTTCCTTATGGACATGTTGCCTCCCTTGTTAAGTGTGTCTGGTTTCCTTTTGCAATCCTCAGGGACACCTCTGTCTAACTGAAATGTGTAACATGGGTATTTTGTTGCAAGTCTCTTAGGAAACCCAGTGCTACTGTAATAGTTACCTTGATAAATGTGGTGTAAGGAATGTCTCCAAAGATATGTATTGCTTCCAACTTTCAATTCATATTACATGGGTATCCACTTTTAGACTGAAAAACAATGTAACCCTTTATGCCACTTGACTGTCAGGCATATAGAACACAAGTCTGCCTCTCAGCTACATACCTTCATCAATTTAAATTTCCTGAAAATGTTAAGTCTGAAATTTTTGTCAAATAAAGAAGGTGAAAGTCATGTGGTCATAGTGTCTAGCATACCAGACAGTTTCCATCTGAAGAATCAATTTCTAAGCCAGTGTAACCACTGAACTGACAAACTCCCCCCCACAACCTGTTGAATGTCACCATCTTGCTCACTGATGTGACTTTGTTCACTATTATAAGATCACAACAGAGAAGATGGGCAACTACAAGGGCTCGTGCCAGTGAACAGCTGCCAATCAGGTGGCATCAAGAGATGACCTTTCCATTGAAAGTGATAAGTGGTACTAGGTCCTTTCCACTTGGAAACTTTGCCCAGTAGAGGTAAGATTTTTCTTCTTTCCCCCTTCTCCCCCACCCAATCTCTATCCTATGACTACCAGGGGTAAAGCAGCAGGGGCATGAAGCTGACCACTCACCTCAAATTTGTGCCAAGGTCAAGAATACATCTTCATGGCATTGTGCTTAATTAGTTAAACACACAGACAACTTTACCTTACCATACTGGTAATACTGACAAGTCCAAAGTTGGTGTGGCCTCTAATGGCATAATGTTCAAACAAAATTTTATGAAAAATAACCAAATGGTTGAAAGAAATTTTGGAAAGCCAGTTAATTATACTGTAAATCTATACTGACAGAACAGAAAACAACAATACCACGATTGACACCTCAGCGGCAGTTTTATATATACGTGGTGCAATCCAAAAGTTCCCGAAATTTGAATTTTGCACGCAAATGGTTATGAGTACGTCGAAATACCGCTAAGTGTCTCCCCACACACCCTTCTTGAATCTGTGTGGCAAGCGGCGTCGAGTTGGGTGGTTGGGTTTATTGTTGGTGAACATATTTCCATTGTTGTTTCCGTGAGTTTGTAGTTTTGCAATGGCTGACCTGAGAGAGCAGTGTGTCCGTATAAAGTTTTGTTTTAAACTTTGGAAAACCACTGCAGAAACGCACCAAATGTTTGGTGGCAACAGTTTGGGCCAGACACAAACTTATGACTGGTATAAGCGTTTCAAAAATGGTCGAACATCGACTGATGACGACGATCGTTCAGGACGGCCGTCAACTGGCACCACACCAGAAAATATCGCGAAAGTTAGGGATCTGATTCTGCAAGATCGTAGACTGACCATCCAAGACCTCTGTAACACCTTGGGGCTAAGTTATGGTACATGTCAACGAATTTTGTCAGAGGAACTGAACATGAGGAGGATTGCGGCGAAGTTTGTGCCACGACTGCTGCAAAATGAACAGAAGCAGCATCACTTGGAAGTCTGCAGGGAACTTCAAGAATAGCTTCAAGAGGATCCAAACTTTCTTTTGAAGGTTGTCACTGGTGATGAAAGTTGGGTTTATGGCTACAACCCTGAAAGTAAGCAGCAATGGAAGAGCCTTTCTTCACCTAGGCCAAAAAAAAAAAAAAACTCGACAAGTCAAGAGCAACATTAAGTCCACTTTATATATATATATATATTGACAGGCTTGTTCATAGGGAGTTCATGGAGTTCATCCCTCCTGGGCAGTCAATAAAGAGTTCTATCGCGACGTTCAAAGGTGTCTGAGGGAGGACATGAGGAGAAAACGTCCAGAGAAGTGGCGCATGAACAACTGGGTACTCCATCATGACAACACATGACCACATACGGCTTACATTGTGCAGGAATTTTTGGCTACAAACAAGATGGCAGTTGTTCCCCACCCACCGTACTTGCCAGACTTAGCTCCATGCGACTTCTTTCTCTACCCCAAGTTGAAGGGGCGAAGATTTGATACAGGAAATTCAAGCGGAAACGCAGACAGTACTAAACACCCTAACAAAGAAAGACTTCCAGGATGCATTTCAAAAGTGGCAGAAACGCTGGGATCGGTGTATGCGCTCCCAAGGGGACTACTTTGAAGGTGATGGTGCAGAATAAGATCCAGGTAAGACGTAATAGTTTTTATTAATATATTTCGGGAACTTTTGGATTGCACCACGTATATATAAATAAAGGTGTTGCCTACAAGGCTTGTGTAGTTGGGAAACTGCTACAAAAATGTAGCCAAAAACATCCTCTTTCTTTACTTTCCACTAAATTTATCACAACAAGAATATGAACACAAATTACTAACTATACAGACTCCATAATTTTAGTCTGCAAGCAAACTATACCGACCAAGCAACTGCCGCTTATCAACAAAGTTTAGTGCTAACTTTTGCAGATAGAGGGTGTCGTGTGGTCAGCGCAGTGAATCCCCATGGCCTTAATTTCGGTTTTCTGGACCGGAACTATACAGACAGTTAAAGAAAATTTTAAATTACATGGCACTGAAATTAAATTATGGTGTGTTTAGCAGCCAAGGAAACTAAAATTATTGACATATATTTTACACGTATACATTAATTGCTTGTCTCTTTGCTGTGTGATAGATTGACACATTGTGCAAGCTCTTATTATCCATAAGAATATTTAGCGATAACTTTCAGACAGCTGGTAGGAGTCTTAGAACACAAGTTTGGCTCTGCCTACATAATGCGGAAGCCTTGAAACCAACCTGCATTCTTTAGTGGGTGTTTCTGATATGAGGCCACTAGGATGACAAAGGACAGAATTTATAGGATTATTATGCAGTTCTGGGAACATTTGCAATAATGGGTTTTGGCCTGTCACAAAATAAAAGCTTTCTCTTAACTATGGCTTTTATATGATACTCCACTGTGTCCTGCAGCTCAGCGGTTTCACCAGTCTGCTTCTGTTCCAATATGGCAAATGGTTTATCCATTGTTACCACCTCACCATGCAGAATATGATGGCCAATTATTAACATAGGATTCCCCTGAAAGAAAAGAACAATTCTGAAGTGTTTACATTTAATGTCCTCATAGTAGAGAAATCATCCCATCCCCAAGAGCAGGCTGGGAATGGTTACTATTTTGAAGGTGTCATAAATCCTTTACCACTACGGTCTTCCCTTCAGTGTCATCTCCCTACAAAAGTAGGGTTGGGGGACTTGGAATTTCCATGACATGAACACAGTTATTAGAAAACAGTTTGAACTGTCCAACTTGGTAAGAACATATATAGTCAATTGCAAAATGCTGTAAGCTAATGAAACGTCCTATTAAAAACTGAATTCTATGCCAATACAGCTGTGAAGTTAAGATTTTTTAAAATAAACCTGAGACTTGGCGGGGGGCCGGAGTAAATCAAGTCGCGGGCCACCAGTTGACCATTGCTGCCTTAGATAACCCCTTATATCACACATCAAGTTTCATCAAAGTGAAAAAAAAAAAAAAACCCACATAGAAAAGTCAATTTAGGCTCTTAAAATATATGAAAATGACTTGGAGAAATTTGTAGCAGGTATACAGTAACAAGTTTCAGTCAAATAAGTCTCACAGCAATGTTGCTTGCAGTGGACAAACATAATGAAATCAGTACATGCTTATCAAAATATCTGTTCGATACAGACTAAAAATTGTACTGGAAAGATCAGACCACTCCTGGATTCAAACTTATAATTGTTCCATGTGGGTGTTCAATCAGGCATTCAATATAGAGCAAGGAAGCATGTTAAGCATACGTAAAGTTAAGTATGAAGTCAGAGAAACATGTTATGTATGGCAGCCAACCTGCTGGAGCTGTGTTTCCCACACATTATTGGCCTATAGAATATTTCCAGCCTGAAGAAATGTTGCTGGATTCCAAAATGGAAACTAAACAGCACAGAGTCTATACACAATAGGAAAAACATTGAATTAAAACTTTATGACCCTTTCTGAGGATTTTGGAGAAGCGTTTCCACTTCGCTGATTGCAAATTGGCCAAATTATGAAATACATGCAATCTTAATATTCAAGTAAAAGCAGTTCTTCATGTATGTAGCGCATGTGTTTCTGAACGGTACCATCTGAATTGAGTACAAATTTCCCAAAAATAATTCAGCTTAAGGATCGATAGAAGAACACTAACAGTCCAGGCATTTGTGTGTCAGCCAAGTCAGGCTATGCACCCTGGCATGCAAGTGAGTACTCACAGCATATATTATCATCTCAAACACTACACCATTTGCATGCTACTGGGTGTGCTCTAGTATGTTAAGTGACAAACAGTAGCGTACTAAACCAAAGAGTTGTATAGTTAGTTGAGACACTGTGCTACAAGTCAGAAGGTTGTGAGTTCAAATCCTGATGAGGTGGATGTTTCAATTGACCTAATCCTTCCAGCTGCACTATGGTCCTGGGGTTGACCCAGCCTCTAACAGAAAGTAGTGCCAGGAATCTTCCTGGGGGGTAAAGGGTGGCCAGCGTGTAAAGCTGACAACCTTACCACCATCTGTGACTTAACTGTCTAGAAAAGATGTGGGAGCCTCGACGTCTCACAACCCTATGGGCCTTCATGGCCTGTTACAGGGATAGCTTCCCTTCTTTATATAGTCTTGACATGCTTTACACACACAGGCACAAAAGAAAAAACACAAATTGAAAGTGTCCACACTGTGAATTGACTGACATTTACGGCAGTGCATACAATGCAAATTTTTGCTGTGTGTATTGTTGAATCACAGAGTTTAAAACCCTGTACTAGAAAATATGTTCACATTTAGTATTGAAAAGAACAAATGTGGGTCACCACAGCAGGGAGTGACAATGAATATAAATGGAGTCAAAAATGTCTATAGAACACAGGTACTGTCACACAAATGAACACAAAAAATGGATTCAGTGTTATCAAAGAGACATCAATGCTTAACACTTTGTGGACCGGACGCCTAGGCCTAGGCGTTTGGGTTTTAAACGTGGCAGACCGATCGCCTAGATTTAGGCTTTCAGGACATGTTATGTTGCAACACACTATTCCTCGCTTTGGTGGCCATGTGTCTGTAAAAGTACTGCGTAGCTGACCTTCGGAATGTTCGTTTTCCGAGTCAGCAACGTGACCACTCTCTATTCCCCTCTCACTCTAAAGAAAAGTCCCTTTGTTCAAGTCGAAGCTACTATGTGTGAGGCAAGATATTCTCAGTGTCAACATGTGAGACGAAAGCAGTTGAAGGCTGCGCGAGCTCTTGGAGAAGAAGAAATCTGTGATTTGATCTCCAATGAGTTATCTGACTTGCCAACTGCTTCGTCTTCTGATAGCAAGGGCAGTGTCAGTGGCAGTGACAGGGCCCCCAAAATATTGTGACCAGGAGAGAAAGTGAAAGTGACAGTGAGAGCTCTGATGAAAGTGCGAGTGCTAGCATTGCGGGGACAGCCACATGGGGTAAAGTGGACAAAACACCCACTTTTGGAAAGTTTATTGGTGATCCAGGGTGAGACAAATGCCATCGGACCCTATGCAAGTGTCTGAAGTAGCTGAACTGTTTTTTGGAGATAATGTCTTTGACATGTCGTGTCAGGAGACCAACAGATACTATCTCCAACACCGTGAGGCGTACGACAGTACCTATAAGGTGTTGAAGTGGGTGGATGTCACTTCAGCAGAAATGAAAAAATTTTTGGCAATAATCATTCTAATGGGGTTTAAAAAGAGGGATAATTTGAAAGACTATTGGTCCACTGATCCATTTTTAGAAATTCCCATTTTCGGCAAACTCATGAGTCGTAAGAGATTTGAACAGATATGGTGGTGTGTACTCTGAAGCACTTATAGGAGCTCTGGTAAGTCTTCTCCAAAAATTTTAGTCCATAAAATTAATTAGGAGATTTTATATTAATTTTTAAAGTGAACAGTGCACAAGTTACGGTAGTAGGTTTAAAAACGTCGGTCCCCAGGGTGATTTAAATATTTAAATCACCGGTCCCCGAAGTGTTAAGATGGAGGCATACGTCAAGCACAGAGTGGCTCTGTTTGCAGTGCAGTGAGATTTATGCCCAGTACCTAAACATTTATAAATTCTCTCTAAACAAATGCAATTTCCACTTTACATCAAATATAAAAACATTTTCAAGCCAAAACATGCAATGAACTCGCAAATATCAGTAGTAATGGAAGAGTTGTAGCATGGATAATCCAAAAATATGGAAATATTCTGCATGCCACATTCAACCTTGAAACTATTAATTCCTGGTTGGCTGCTGGTTGCTAAAATAGTGAAAGAAACATCTTTCCATTACAACAAAGTAATCTTTGTTCAGTAGTACACTGAAGTGAAAAAAAAATAAAATAATATAACACAAAAGTGCAATAAGGTGAGAAGATGCATACTACAGCAAGTCCTTGTAAAGCATCAGTAACGCAGGTTAGTGAAACAGATGCAATGGGCAACACTCAAATCATTACAGGAAGCTATAATAAATAACTAATGGGTCCAAAATGTTCCACGGTTAAGTCATAAACAAATAATCAAGAGTCTAATGTACATGAAATCCATTCTATGGGGTTGATACTGGACTGTGCACTAAAAAAATATGAACTCTTTAATAGTAATGACTAATATGTCATAGTAATGTTCAGTTGGTTGGCTTCATGAACTGTGGGAGTTCCTAGCTGAATTCACGAAGCCACCTTTCATACTGCAAACGTCAAGTCCCACAAATCTTGTGTTCATAATGTTTTATTGAGTTATGTCATCAGGCTAACCTCAGGCTAACCGTTTCCTGCACTTCTGCCTATTTCTTTTAACACCATTTCTAAACAAAAAGTATATGAAAACCAAAAATATAAACGAGACATGATAATTATTACATTCAAACCTTAGATAAACCAGAAATTTTGGGGGACCTGCCACGATTTGTAGAAATACATCCCATCTGTACTCAGGGACTAGCATACAAAATATACAAAACCTTATTTGTATAATGAAGATCGCCAATGAACTGCTGATGCATACTGCTACCGTTTCTGGACTTTAGATCTCCCTGTAATTCCACTATTGCCCATTCTCCAACTGAAGAGTCATTAGGTCTGAAAATTTGTTATACATCAATAATCTAACCTAAATCAAGAAAGTTTACACATCTTTCACTAAACTATGAAACACATATGAACATATTTCTGTCTTATTATCTCACTGAAGGAGCTAAAATAAAATACTGTAAATACTCTGCATCATTACTGATTTCGAGGTGCCCCATTTGCTTAATAGTTGAATTAATCAAATTTAATAAACTCGTATCTTACAGTTCACTTACATTTTAACAATTATAGACATCTTTCAACACAACAACTTTTCACAGGGTAACAACAGATATATCTCCGTTTCAAACCTTCAAATCCGGTTAATCGCGCGAAACACTACTGCCCATCATCAAATTATTCAGTAGGCAAAGAGCGGCAAAGAATACGAGCTACGATTCCTACTTCCAGAGGTTCCAGAGGTTCCAGAGGCTCTGGAAGCTCCAAGGTGTGAAACCCCTAGCAACGCAATGTTATTTATGGGCAAAATGGCCGCCGTGTCATTACTACTCCCATCTCTGTGCAGATATTAGTCTGTCAATACAGAATGGCCGCTGCCAGTGCCGAGATACGATCGGTAAGAAGGTATGCTATTATAGCACCGTCCTACTCAAATTCCCCCC